TGGGAACGCCTTGGTATTCCCCCGGACAAGCTGGAGGAGGTGGCTGGGGAGAGGGAGGTCTGGGCCTCTTTGCTTAGGCTGCTGCCCCCGCGACCCGACCCCGGACAAAGCGGATGACGATGGATGGATGGATGGACTTTATTCCCACACATCCGACTGAAGATGCTAAACTCTGGTTTTGAAGTATAAAGAAATGAATGGACAGTGTTATAGAAATACACACATGAATTTTAAAGTAATAAACCTACTATGTGACTTCATTTTATGCAATATGTGAAAACATAAGCATAGACTTTGGCCACAAGTCTAAGCACAACCACAAACCAAACAAAGCTGAAATATTTGGCCAGTCATCCACCCATTTTCTTAGCTATCACCAGTCTGTTGCAAAACGAATTAAGAGAGACAGAAAACCATTCTCACAAACACACCTATAGTCAATTTACAATTAACAGTTAACTTAACATGCATGTCTTTGAACTGTGGGAGAAGACCAGAGTACCTCTAGAGAGGACACAAAGGAACATGCAAACTTCAAGATTCAAACCCATAAGTTTATTGCTGTGAGGGGACAATGATAACCTTTGCTAACCACATTGGATTTTTCTGTCTGACAAAAATTTATTCACAGTATATCATAGGATATACAAAAATAAGTCAGTGTGGAAAAGCTCACTGTAGCATCCACAAGTGCAGGTTAAAGCACTGCCATGCTAAGAAGAAGTCATCTATGAACAGTCTTATCTTGGTCAAAGCTCAATTAAAATAGACTAAGACAAAGTGGAATATTGGTCTTTGGTCAAAGGAATCAAAATTTTAAATTATTTTTGGAAAACATGGACAACACGTCCTCCAGACTAAAGAACAGAGGGACCATCCAGCTTGTTATGAACATTTAGTTCAAAAGCCCGCATCCCTGATGGTACAGGTTGCATTAGAGCCTATGGAATTGGCAGCTTGCAATGGAAACTCACCATCCGTGCAGTGAAAAGTAAACACTAGGTTTTAGAGCAACATATGCTCCCACCTAGACAATGTCTTTTTCAGGTAAGGCCTTGCATATGCCAGTGAAACACTGCTAAACGGCACGCTGCAACTATTACAACAGCATTGCTTCACTGCAGAAGAGTCCACATGCTGAACTACCTGAAACTACCTGAAAACATTTGAAACACACCATGAAATGAAAACTATAAAGATGACTCATGACTGTTGAGCAGCTAAAATCCTATCAGACAAGAATGGGACAACTACTCATCTCCTCTTATTGCTCAATAGTTGCTCACGTCTCAAAAAAGCAGATAGGGCCATTTTTTTGTAGGATCCCCTCTTCTTTGAACAAAAGTATGTAAATGGCAACACACTGGAAACAAACCATCAACTTTCTTCTCAATATTTGACATTTTCCTTGTTAAAATGTTGTTTTCTTTCAGGAAAGCAAATATGAAGGAAAAGTTAGGAATACATTGAGAAACATAGGCTGGAAAAAGAGGAAGTTAAGATAATGTGACGGAAATTGCTCTGTGTGACAACAGATAACAAAATCAGCCAAAATCAACTTAAATGCTGAATGGACAAATTAATTAGGAAATAGCAAGTAAAGAATGAACACAGCGTTCTTAGAAAACAACAAAACAATTTATCGAAAGGTCATTTTAAAGCAATGATTAGTCATCAATTTCTTATTAATCTGACTAACTAAAGTAATATATGCTTTTAGTATTTACAACAAAAGAAGAACAGATTTATAAGACTGACTGAGACTCAGAGTTTCACAACAGGAAGTGCTTTGCATACCCAATCCCAGATGAGAACGCCTTGAATAATAAAATACAGGACAAGAACTGGGTCTGAACAGTTTAGTGAAGGAACAAACTTCAGCAAGTTGAGATCTGGTACCTCAAACCAGAGTTATTCTTCATTATACTGATGAACAAAACCTACAATAATCTATTTTAAAGGTAAGAACATTATTTGCAAAATATATTCAAATAGCTTATTTAAAGTTTAAAGTTTGGTTCATCTAACATAACAAAATACTTCTTTCTTATGCTGTGTTAGATGTACAGAGAGGAGAATAGAGATATCCTGCACAATAATCCAGGTTCAGAATATCACACTGCAAGCACAAAGTGCCAAATCAGCATTAATATATGATATATATGAAAATTGAAATTCCACTAACATGTGTAAAAGTTATTGTGATACTAAAAACAACTATAATTAAGCTGTATATTCAAGTCAAATATCTGAAATCAGCTTTTCTCTTGAGGCTTCCTAAGAGAATCTGTGATGTAGAATTTTTTATTTTTTTTATTTAAAAAAAGGTTGTTTGCACATGAGTTCATCCTGCTTAGTGGAATTAAATAAAAGGATTGTTGCAACATGTACAAATGAAAGATGAAAGCACTGCTGTGAATGATAACCAGAGGTGGGAGGAGGCAGGTGAAGAGGGTGGTCAGTGGTCAAGTTCACCAATCGATATTTCACAAAAATCATCCCTGTGATCTCTATTTCCCAGTTATCTATGTTGCGTGCAAAACTAATTCTTACTGTTATAACTCTTTTCCAGCATAATGTTAAATTGTTGTTTCTCTTTCTGCTCAATTTCACACCTGTTTTTTTTTAAATAGTAATGTAGGCTTTGTGTAAAAAACAAAATCCCCTCTCATCATCTCCCCTTTAATGATTGATCAAAATGTCAACATGGATCCAGTTTGCAGTCCAAGTCCAGGTGGTCCCTTTTGATTCATAACAATTACTGGATATGTTCATGGGGCTTTAATCCTTAGGGTATTTCAAACATGAGCAAGTTAGTTTAAATTTTGATTTCATTTTAACAGTGTTCTAGAGATTGTGAATTTAAAAGGTAAGAGGACTATATGATCACCTTCTGGATATAAAAAAGGAAGGCTTTAAAAAGCTTTTCTAAACACAGGAGGAGAGGTAAAGCCACTGTTTTAATTTTACAAAAATATTTTACAGCATTTGATCAACACTGAAGACCAAATATGATCCCCATTTCGGATGAAAAACGACATTTTGTTTTTTGCTTGTCTCTTGGTAAGTTACTGGAGGTTTTTTTCTCAGTCTGACTTCTTGTGTTTTTTCTTAAGTGGACATAGTTTGATTGCTTGTTAACATCATAAGTGACCAATGGGAGTTTTAGTGTCTGCACTGAAATACCCCTGGATGACTGAACGTGTTAAATATTCCTGGATCAATTAGAAAATATTCCAGACTGTTCCATATTTATAATATATTTCACATATTATAGCTATGACTGCAGTATAGGCTGTTAACTGAAGGATATATCTAGATTTACATATCAGGCCTGTCAGGCTTAATCACATCATTTTGCTGTTTCTGCTGCAGGCCTCTTGAGTTTTCTACAGTTTACTGGTCAGTAAGTAACACACAAATATTAAAAAAAAAATTGTAATGGCTTTATGGCCAAGGTGACACATTGTGCATCCTTTGTGGTTTTGTTTTTCTCATATCCAGAATGTGAGAAAATGAGGCTGGTCGGACCTTCGCGTTGCTCTGGTAGAGTGGAGATCTTCTACCAAGACAGTTGGGGAACTGTCTGTGATGATCAGTGGAGCATGGCCAATGCTGAGGTGGTGTGTCGAGAGCTGAGCTGTGGGGCAGCTATGGAGGCCAAAAAAGGTGCTTTCTTTGGACAAGGAAAAGATGAGATCTGGTTGGATGATGTACAGTGTGTTGGCCATGAGTCTTCCATCCTTAAGTGTCAACACAGACCGTTTGGGCAAAATAACTGTGGCCATAGTGAAGATGCAGGAGTGGTCTGTTCAGGTAAGCCTAAATAATGTTTGACTTCAGATGTGAGGTTTAACTTTATCAAATAGCATTTTCTCAAAGAAGATGTTTGTGTATTTGTTTTTCCTTATACACATGTATTAAGAACTTTACTTTAGCTTCAAAAATAATATTGTTTTGATGAATTCAACATGTTTACATATGATTTTTTTTTAAAGATGAAACAAGCAACACATGAAATGTTACACTAGTTGAGAAGGTGGATTTTGTCATTCTCGGACAATCTGGCTGTTTCCACTATTCTCTGATTTTTCTGCTAAGCTAAGCAAGCACTGTACTAACCATTATCATTACCACTGACAGCAGTCACGTAGAATTCCTTCATATGAGCAAGGTGTCAGCTCAGCAAAACCCCCAAATGTCCCTCTCCATGAAATGTGGAACTGTAGTTGAAATTGAGAAATACTGCACAAGTAAAAAAAACAGCTAACACAGCACTTATGTTAGTCTGCGGCATTATAGTATCTCCTGTTTTAAGTTCCTCTGTGATTATATTTCTGTGAAACAAAAATATAACTGATAAAACTGAATTTTACATATTGCTGTAGAAACCATCATAACCCTGTATAAATTGTAACATCCAATCATGTGTTCATGTGTTTGGTATTGAAATACAGACAGCTATCTGTGTATATTATAGAGAAGATTCATTTATTTGCACAAAATATGAGTACAGATTTTATCACACGATCACAAACATCCATTTTTAGTCTTTTGTTCTTGCCATGTCCAACTAAAGAGGTAATAATGTTTTCCTCCAATTTTTTGGACTACTGAAGTAGTTCACACCAGGAATTTGATATTTAATAGATTTATTATGTGTTGATACTTGCTATAAAGATTTAAAGGTTGTGAAGGCCTACATTTAAAGCATATTTTACAGTGTGCAATGTAACATGTACAATATATGCATTCATATACACAAGACTATAATGATATATAATAATAATAATAGTACTAATAATAACATATACATTAATATACACAAAATAAATATTTCTAATCTTTATTACAAACATTTATTTTTGCCCTTAATGTCTAGTGAAAGTGTCAAATGAAAACAGGTAAATTAACAATTTGGCTTACTGGGAAGTACACGTATACCCATTACTGATCACTGATTACTAAGCAAATCAGCTTAAACAAGCAAGATAAACCTGTCTGATGGTGATAGCTGACTCCAGTTTTGATTCTGGCCTTAACCAACCAGCTCGTGGCCAAGAAGGCTTTAAAATTAGCAAGCTAACTTAACAAAAAAACTTCCATCCATCCATCCATCCATCCATATTATTTAACACCGACTTACCTCTTAGTTTTATATTTAAGAGATATTCGTTATTACATTTTTTTTATTAACATCATTTACAGAAAATGTGCGGTTTACAAATGGAACCACTCGTTGTAATGGCAGAGCGGAAGTCTACCATGAAGGTCAGTGGAAAAAAGTTTGCAGTGACTGGGGCAAAGAAGCAGCTCAGGTGGTGTGCCGAGAGGGCGGCTGCGGTGATCCTCTCCCTCAGACCGAAACACCCTATTTTGGAGAAGCACGTGACCTCACCGCAGTCAAAACCATCTGCTCTGGAAATGAGACCTCTGTCTCACAGTGCTCAGTTCTAAAAGTCAATGAAAGTTGTGAAGATGCTACTGTTGTCTGTGGAAGTAAGTCACATTTGTGCCCACAAAACTATCACTAATTTGTTGTAAACTGACACTGTTAGACTGTCCCCTTGCTGAATAAACTTACCCTCAACATTTTTTTTAACCCAACAGACAGTCAACCCATTCGGCTTGTGAATGGGACTAATCGCTGCTCTGGTAGAGTGGAAATCTACTATAATTCACAATGGGGAACAGTCTGTGATGACAGATGGGGGATGCAAGAAGCAACTGTGGCATGTCGAGAGATGAACTGTGGCAATGCTCTCTCAGTCAAGTACAAGGCTTACTTTGGGAGAGGCCAGGATCAGGTTTGGTTGGATGATATTGAGTGCACTGGTCATGAGAAGTCCCTTGCTCAATGTCCTCACAGAGGTTTTGGTGAACATGACTGTGACCACAATGAAGATGCTGGTCTCGTGTGCTCAGGTAACACAGGCTCTATTCTGTTTGTTGCTCAAAACTGAGTTTTAAAGAAATTCTTAACAACACCAAATTTTGCTTTGCAGAAACAGTCAGATTGATAAATGGGACTGATGGTTGTTCTGGCAGACTGGAAGTTTTCCATGACGGCCGATGGGGGAAACTTTGTAATAATAACTGGGGCCTTAAAGAAACTACAGTTGTGTGTAAGGAGCTCAACTGTGGAGTGCCAATAAAATCCCAAAACAACTTCTTTTTTGGTGACAGCTCACTGCGAGGGTTCAGAAGTACATGCACTGGTAATGTGAGCACTATCAGCCAATGTCAACTGCAAGAACACATGGGATCATGTACAGGTGTTTCTCTCGCATGTGCAGGTAAGAGACTAAAGATACAGATAAATTGTGCCACCATTTTCCAAGGATAGCAAGCGTCATGTTTGATTATTTAAGAAGAATAGCTTTTGTCCATTATCTTTTTTTTTACTAATTGTTTACCAGTAAATTAAATTAAAGGTTCGAGGCTCATCAGAAATAATTAATCTACCAACCCAGTGGTAGACACTGACAAGTTAAAGATAACATAATGGTTTCTAGTTATGCATTTAGTAATTTATAAAGGCAAAGGTCATTTGTATTATAAGAAAATATTGAGTGAATAAGAATAGTAGGGAACAGTATAAATGTGGACGTGGCCCAGGTGGATACAAAGTATAACTTTGGATGGATACAAAGTATAACTTTGTATCCATCCAACTTCCATCGCTGAGCAATTCCTGAAACTTTGATGTAACGTGGATGTGGCCCAGGTGGATACAAAGTATAACTTTGGATGGATACAACTTTGTATCCATCCAAAGTTATACTTTGTATCCATCCAAAGTTATACTTTGTATCCACCTGGGCCACATCCACGTTACATCAAAGTTTCAGGAATTGCTCAGCGATGGAAGTTCATGCCATGAAGCTCCTAGCACACAGTTGTTGTGCTGACTTTAATGCTAGAGGTCTGGAACAGTTATTAAGTCAGCAGAACACATTAAACTATCCTACAACACTATCCTAGCTAATATAACCCTTGGGGTTCATGTGTGGACACTCAGCAAACCTACAGTGGGCTGCCTACATGGGACCACACTGTGGTCAGAACATGTGCCATGTCTCCTCCCATGCCCAAACCAGGAATATTTGCTTTTTAGCAAAACATATAAACCACTACCCTTTGGAGTCACTTGCTCTCAAAGAGAAAAAAGTTCAGATCCTATCAAACAAGTTTGTCTGTCTCTATAAACACATCTAGAGTGAAAAGAAGTGAGTGAAGAAGAAATGGTCAATGCATTATGGGCAACTTCCAGCAGCCCAGGTCTACTGCAACATAACTAAAGAGCATTTAGGCTTACCTGATCTAGCCGTAACTATAACGTTTAACAAAATAGGAAAGCTTTTAGTCCAATCTTAAAAACAGATAGGGTGTCTGTCTCTTGAATCCAAACTGGGAGCTGGTTCCACAGGAGAAAGGGGGCAGAAAGCTGAAGACTCTGCCTCCCATTCTACTTTTAAATATCCTAGAAATCACAAATAAGCCAGTAGTCTGAGGGAGAAGTGCTTTATTGGGCGGGTATTGTACTATGAGGTCTTTAACATAAGAGGGTCCCTCATTATTCAAAATGAATAATGAGTCTGTTTTTTACAATATGCATGTAACTGCATGTAGCTTAATAGAATCAATTGGAAAGTTTGTAATATTTATTGGTAATGCCTTAATGTGTGCCCTCAGGTCAACCACCACTAAGGCTTGTGAACGGCACTGACCGATGCTCTGGCCGAGTGGAGATTCTGCATGACGGCCAGTGGGGAACAGTGTGTGATGATGAATGGGACTTCAGAGAGGCTGAGGTGGTGTGCAGAGCCATGGACTGTGGAACACCTCAGACAGCAAAATCCAGTGCCTTCTTTGGTGAAGGCCAAGGAGTGATCTGGCTTGATGATGTCAACTGTCTAGGTAACGAGACGTCACTTGTGCACTGCAGACGTTCCTCCTTTGGAGAAAATAACTGCGGTCATGGTGAAGATGCAGGAGTGATTTGTTCAGGTACAAACTGTTGATGTTTCATTTCATACAATGCCTTCTTTTTACTTTTAGATGTTACTTTGTTTTGTTTTTTCTGATTAGCATTTTATTATAAATTATACTGTAGTTATTTCTACAACACTAATAAGAATATCACATGGATTTCAATGAATTCACTTTTTCTTTCATATGAACACCAGCTCATTGCTGATTTTCTCCTCTTTGCTTTGTAGCTACCATTCGACTAATCAATGGGACTGACATGTGCTCAGGAAGGGTGGAGGTCCACCATGGTGAACACTGGTCACCAGCACTTAATGTCAACTGGGGGAGGAATGAAGCTACAGTGGTGTGCAGAGAGATGAATTGTGGAGATCCTGTCAAGATGTCAGGGTCATTTGGTCAAGGTGGAGATCTGAGAGGGTACGAGATCCATTGTAATGGTAGAGAGACCTCTCTCACACAGTGCTCATTTAGAGACTATAGCAGATCTGCCACGAACCGTGTTGAAGAAGCCTCTGTGGTATGCTCAGGTAAGACTTTATGTCAAATTAAATTAGAGTTTCAAAATGTAAGTGAATCAATGATAGCCTTCTTAAAAATATTAAATATAAGTGGTTCCAATTAATGTGTTGATGCAAACAACCAGACAGATATTTTTTCATAGTTGAAACCCATGTGTTGATGCATCTGGTACCAATACCAAAATCATGGTCGCTATGTTCAGACATGTGAGCTATACCTGAGCATGTACTCTAAGAAGGTCACTAGGATCAGGCAAGCCAACGTACACACAGATGTATAAGCACACAAAATAATTAGCCTGCAACTTTGTAAAGCAACAATGAAATACATAGTTATCTCATCTGTTCAGATGATTAACCTCCTCTTCAAACAGCAGGTGTAAGTATCATGAATTCAGACGCACAGACACTGAAACTTAACAAAGGCTAAGACAATGTAAACAGGATTTAGTGTTTCTGTTTCTGACCTGACCCCTAAGTTGGATTTCACGTACATTAATTTGAAAACAATGATTTTCAGGTAACGTGAGATTAAATGGTGGATCCACTCGTTGCGATGGAAGAGTAGAATATTTTGATCAAAACCAGTGGGGGACTGTGTGTGCTGAATCCTGGGACATGAATGATGCAACAGTGGTGTGCAAACAGTTGGATTGTGGGAGGCCCCATAAGCTTCTTCAGCTTGGCCCTGGTACAGGACAGACCTGGAATGATCAAATTGAATGCAATGGAAGAGAGTCTACATTGACTCAGTGTCCACAAAGACCATATCCAGACAGGACTTGCAACAACACTGTATTGGCTGGTGTTTTCTGCACAGGTAAGAGAAAAGCATACAATAAAGCCTGTGAAACTATGTGAAATGTCAATAAAAACAGAATTCAGAAATGTGAGAATCTTATAAATCCATGGTTGATTCACAATAGAACCTAGAAAACACCAAAATTTGACATTCTTCTGGAAAAGCATTGATGACTATGAAATTAGCAGCTTACAAATCTGGAAAGAATCAAAATGCTGCATATAAGTTTTAAAGCAACATGTGTTTCCATGCAAGATGATGTTTATATCTGGGAACGCTTTGAGCAGTTGGAAATATAGCAAATATTTTTCTTACATTTTGTCAGTTGAAATATTTGATTTTTTTTCCCATGGTTCTATTGTGAATAAAATATTTTCTTACTGAATTCTGTTTTCACTTAGATTTTAAACAGTGTCCCAACTTTAGGAATTAGATTTGTACAAAAAATGCCAGAATGTAATGTCGGCAGCTCTTCTGAATTTAAATAATGTACAATATATCCCAAAAGGCTGACTCTGTTCATTTGCACGTAGCGTTTTCAGTGGGAGAAACATTTCGTCACTCATCCAAGTGACTTCTTCAGTCTCAGCAGACTGCAGGTCTCCTCAGCCTTATAAACAGAACATGATGAGGTCCATTCCTTGATCATTAATATTTGATCAGTGGTTGTTGATCAACGGTCATGACAATTTGCTTTTTAATTATCAAAGAATTGACCTCGCAGCTCATTGTTCAGTTGTGCTGGTTTCAGTTATTATGCAATGTACTGTTTATAAGACTGGGGAAACCTGCAGTCAGCTGAGACTGAAGAAGTCACTTGGATGAGTAACGAAATGTTTCTCCCTCTGAAAACGTTACGTCCAGATGAACAGAATAAACCTTTTGGGATTTACTTAGCTGGATGATTGAGCATGCATCAAGACAGTGTACAATATACCTAAACACATCACAGTTATTTTGTTGATTATTCTTCCACACCTGTGGCTACATTTTTGGTTTACTTGACTTCACAGGAAGCTTGGCTATCCGGGTGGCTAACAGTAACGATGAGTGCTCTGGAAGAGTGGAGGTACGTCATGGCGAGCAGTGGCACACAGTGTGTGACACGGACTGGACTCTAAGTAAAGCTCAAGCAGTTTGCGAGACGCTGGAGTGTGGACGTGCCATGAATGCTCCTGGTGCTGCTTTTCACGGCCCAGGCAGTGGACCAGTGGTGGAGGCTAGCTCTTCATGCTTTGATAATGTGACATCTCTTCAGCAATGCTCAGTCAAAGGTTTTACAAGAGCAACCTGCGGGCATGAACATGATGCTGGTGTTCTCTGTGCAGGTAAAGACTTTTATCATTGTGTGTTCAAAATTCTCAGATATTTTTTCCTAACATCAAAGACAGTATAAAAGACGAATGTAGCTCCAAGTGTCACCAACTGGTTTGTGAAGTCCTATTATGGAGCCTTGAGATGACTCTTTTTTCGTAGTCACCATCTTGGTGTTTTAAACTAGAGGTGATGAGAAACAGGCTGTTTGAACTGGGAAACCACATGCTAATGACATAATTGTAGCTAATGTAATTACCGGATTTGACCAAGTAATGTGTTACATTATCGCGTTACTGGGAAATGTAATGTGATTACAGTTATTTTGAAACCCGTTAAATGAACAGCACTGCTTATCTTACTCTATAGATTAAAAAGCAAAATGTAAAACATATTAAAATGTTAAAGTGACTTTTTATTTTCAATCAAAGTCACTAATAAACTATATAATATAAGTAATATTATACTTCAGTATTTTGTTATTAGTTGAAAAAGTCTGTATATGAGCTATATGATTCATGTATTAATACAAAAATATTATTTTAAGGACTTTCCTTTGCACTTGTATTCACTCTTTCTGCTCTGTTATGCAGCACAAGTCCAGTTGGTGGGTGGCTCAGGTGAATGCTCCGGCAGAGTGGAGGTCTTCTATAAAGGACAGTGGGGAACTGTGTGTGATGACGATTGGGAAATGAGCGATGCCGATGTAGTATGCAGACAGCTTGGTTGCGGTCATGCCGTTTCAGCACCTGCAAGTGCCCATTTTGGTAGAGGCAGTGGCCCTATATGGCTGGATAACGTGGAATGCTCAGGCCAAGAGTCTGCACTTTCACACTGTTCACATCCTGGTTTTGGACAAAATAACTGTGGGCATGGTGAAGATGCCAGTGTTATCTGCTTAGGTAAGAGACATAGCTCATTTTGAACTAACAAATGATCTCATTGCTTGTAAGAATACCGTGTTGGCAGTTACACAACATTAATTTTCTCTTTTAGGTGCTCTGCAGAAGCCTGAAATCACGATCAACCCTGGGGTAGAGGTAAACTGGGGTGACAAAGTTGAAATTACCTGCACGCTAGTAACAGAACACATGGGCGGTACATTTCTCCTGAAAAAAACCCAAGGGTCATTTCAAATGGAGAAATTCTCAGATCAAGCTTCTGCAACCTTTGTCTTCCCTAAAGTGGACTTTAGTCAGAAGGGTTCATACTACTGTGAATATCAAAAGAAAATGGCCAATCAAATCATCTACTATCCTCAAGGAATTCCTGCTGACCTCTCTGTTGTAGGTCAGTGAATATCATGCACAGTTTTTGTATACTTGTTGGAAATTTGACTATTTCTAATATATATTTATATATTTATATTGTTTGCAGTTAAACTGGAAAAACCCAGCATCTCCCTGGTGTCCCCCCATGCAATGGTGGTCTACAGTCCCGACAAAGTATCAGTCACCCGAGGCAGCACCTTCTCCGTCACTTGCTCTATTCATTCCATTTACTCTAGAGGTTTCTTCAGTTTGACAAATTTAAACACGAACAATACCGAAACAATGTCAGCATTTGGCTACTCAGTCTTATACCTGGCCACTTTTGAGCTCCCTTCAGTAGATTTTAAAGACCAAGGATCGTATACGTGTCACTACAGCGTTAACATCTCTGCAATGTCCTTCTCTTCTGCTCCTTCAAGGAAACTTTATATCTCCGTTACCTGTAAGATCTGAAATTGAAAACAATAAATATATATTACTTTATATATTATTTATATGGTTATTGTTACTAACTATTTTTATTCCTACAGCACCCTCATCTTCTTCAGTTGTCGCAGCTGTTGTGGGTGTGCTAGTAGTTTTGCTACTCCTCGTGGTTATTATTTTCCTGGTCTGGAGAAGGAAGTGGGGGGTTTCTGGTAAGAAACAGTTTTTATAACTCCATTATCCTCTTTTTTATGATACATATTGTCTTTGAAAGTGCTCTAAACTATTTTGATGTTATCAATGGACAAATCTACTATGCATAACGTATGAGGTGGCACTTGTAGAGATGAATGTACTTATTATTATTTAGGTATTTTAAAGCAACTTTGGAGTCCTTGTTTTGATTTTATAAACACCAGCATTATTCTCTGGTAAACCCACTGAAAATCTTTCAATTGAGCAGTGCTCAGTCACATCAAACTGGTTAAGGAACTACTTTACTACTAAACCTTTTCAACTTTATTTCAGAAAATTCACTAAATTGTACCTTTGGGATTAATAACTCATAAAAAGTTATAATATCAACAATACCTTCACTTTTCTCAATCACATCTGTAAGGCAGAAAACTGTGAGAAGAGTACGCAAAGTGAAACACTGAAAAGACACACACAGCTTACTTTTTGTGATTTAAATATCGACATGGCTTAACATGTCATATTTTGTAGTTTAGCTGAGGTTGTAGTTAGATCATTTTAAGATCTGATAAAGACTGGATTATTTCCATTATGTCTTGACAAGTAAAACCTTTGAACTAAAAGAAGGTGCACTTTCTTTTTCACATGACTGTAAGTGGCAATATGTTGGCTGTCTCACCTTCATCATTTGTTAGAGATATTTATATTTACCGTACTTTCCAGACCAGTTGGTGTGATATGCATAACTCCTGAGAGTGAATTTACACTGAAACAACAGAATCTCATAACCAGTGCATTGTTGCTCACTGTCTTCTTGAGGTGTAACTGAGCAACTGATTACACTGTTATCAACTTTATTTCTTTATAATGTCAGTGTTGATCCTCAGCAGCACCTTGAATCAGTTCATTGGTTCACTCCAATGTTAAAAAAAAAAGGACTGCTAACGTTATGGTGATGTTTGCTCCATTTTCAGAAGTCATTGTTCAGTTTAGTAACAGATTTGGAGCAGCAATAAAACAAGAAATGGAGGACAAAACCACTGTAGCCCTTGATGAAAGGTAAGGGGAAAAAATGAAACATGCATTTCAAACATGCACAAATATTTTGAATTTAAGAAAGTTTAAAAAATATATGATATGATATGATTATAATTGCCAATTTTGTGCTCTTTGTTCTCTCCTTCAGAGAGAGGAATAACCAACTGTATGAGCCATGCACTCCCAGCCCAGAACAGAGTAAAACTGATGCAGATACTGATAGCAATGCTGAGAGAGCACCCGAAGACCTGGCTGGAAAAGTGTGTTATGAGCTTGAACCTCTTGTTGTTTCATGATAACATGTATGAAAACATAACCTCAGTAATGTGGTTTTAGTAAATATAAAGAGGAGTATAACAGTAGGCTAAAAAGCAGAACTTTAGTGAAATATTTGCAAAAAGTTTCATTTCTCTTTTGACATCTAAACCACATCCATAGTGATGTTGCAATGACCTACTCTGAACCATAGTTTTCAACGCAAAAGCAAAGTGACTACCAAACTATTTCAGATCAGCAAAATAAACACTTTCATTCTGTGTGAAGTTGCTCTTTAGGACTGTTTAAGGATTGTCGGTTTTTTAAAATTCTTTTTTCAACAAATAATTCATAAATCTTCAGACTTTGTTTCATTAAACCTGAGCTGTTTCCAGTCTTTTAAGAGAACTTTAAATGATTTGTTTAAAATAACATGTATGCTTATCCTGTCAGAGTATTCCTCTTTCATGCAAAAGTCTTTTTCACGTGTTTTTATTTGGTAATTTTTGTCTTCACTGAGTGATTCTCACACTTCAAGGTTCAAGGACTTTTACGAAGATGCCTATTATGAATATCTTGTTTGACTTTAACACTGACTATATTTCATGATGAGTTGCTTTTTCTTTCTTAATCTTTTCTGGTATAAGAATAAATATGTACTTCATATACAACATGGGTCATTTGTTATACATGGGCCATTTGCACATCATAATTTAATTATCATAATCACAGATTAAATATATACTTTATAGAGGTCCTTCAAGTATCAAAGAGTATCAAAACTGACTATATCAATAGTGTATCATTAGTCGATACTGGAAAAATATATAACTTACACATTTCATTAAATGTAAATATTTAGGTTGTACATAACTTTTGTGTAAAATTCTCATTGTAATTTAAAAATATCTCAGTAAACCTTTGGTCAAAATACATTTATAGATTAAATAAGATACATAAAGTACAATATATTTAGATTAACAAAATTTAAAGTGCCAAATGGAGAAGTCTGAAGAAGTCACTTGGATAAGTGACGAAATATTTCTCCCACTGAAAATGCCTCGGTATTTACTGGGATTTACTTACCTGGATGATTGAGCATGCATCAAGACATTTTGGATTTTAGTTTTTAAAGAACATTTTTTTTATTTTGCAATTTTTTTAATGGTGTTTATTCCTGTTTTCCTTCTCTGGGAATAAACCTTTACTGATTGGACCTGCTGAGTCTGTGCCCTGGGTTCTGATTCGCTTGCTCCCCCCTTGTGTTAAAGAACCTCCTGGTGTGACATTTAGGCCCACCAGCTTTAGTGTCTACGTACACACTGTACTACCAAGTATTCAGTCACCTGTCCAAATCATTGAATTCAGGTGTTTCAAACACTTCCATGGCCACAGGTGAATAAAATCAAGCACCTAGGAATGCACATTGCTTCTACAAAGATTTGTGAAAGAACGGGTGTGAATGAGCTCGGTGCAACAAGTCCATTCATGGAATTTCCTCACTACTAAATATTCCATTCAACTGCTAGTGGTATTATAACAAAGTGGAAGTGATTACAGCAATTAAATTAGGCCATATAAAATCAGAGAGTGTGGTCAGTGGATGCTGAAGTGCACAGAGGTCCCCATCTTTCTGCAGAGTCAATCACTACAGACCTCCAAAGTTCATGTGGCACCCAAGCTATACATTACCAAGTGAAATGCAAAGCGTCAGTTGCAGTGGTTTAAAGCACGTCACCGTTGAACTCTAGAGCAGTGGAGATGTGTTCTCTGGAGGGACACTTCTCCGTCTGGCAAACCAATGGACGAGTCTGGGTTTGACACTTCCCAGCAGAATGGTACTTGTCAAAGTTTTGTTGAGTGGGGTTGTTGGTCGAGTTGGTTGGCTCCTTAGTTCCAGTGAAAGGAACTCCTAATGCTTCAGCAAACCAAGACATTTTTGGACAGTTTCATCCTCCCAACTTTGAGGAAATAGTTTGTGGATGGCCTCTTCCTGTTCCAACATGACTGCACACCAGTGCACAAAGCAAGGTCCGTAAAGACATGGATGAGTAAGTATATGAAGTCAAAGGCTTCATATGTGTGTATAGTTTTCTAGTTGATTAACAATTGTTTTGGGTAAACTCACAAGTGTCCTAGTGACAACCAAGGTGAGCATGCATACAGGGCTAAATGAAATCCTGGCAACTTTTTGTCTGTTATTTAGTGCTTTTACTTTACAAGCCAAAATTTGTCTGTAACACAACTTACGCAGTTGTGTAAAAGGTACAATAGTTACCTGTGAACTTTGATGAAATGAAAGTGCCTAAGGAAATGTAGCAATGTGGTTATCTATCAATCTATGTGTGTGTATACATGTTTAGACATCTTTATGAGGACGGGAAATTGGCTTGCCACTATACTTGTAGGGGGACAAAATGCCTGTCAGTTTGAAGGCATTTTTGAGGCTCAAAATGTAGCTTTAGTGTCAGGGTTACAATTAGTTTATTGTTAGGTTTAGGCTAAGGGTTAGGGCAACACATTCATTCTTGATGGTTACGGTTAGGGTAACCGGCTAGGGAAAGCATTATGTTAAATAGATGTCCTCACTAAGATATGAAATAGAGTGTGTGTGTTTGTGTACTTGACTGGTTTCACAACTGAAGTAGACAGGCCACAACTCGAAGTGCACTCAGTCCTGTAGGTGTGTCCTTGCAGACAGGTAAGAGTTGTCCAAACCTGTTTACTTTGTGTGTGGTTGCACCAGCAGTGCCTGCATATCTAGCACAGGATCACTCTGTGACTTTCCACTTCTCTCTGCGCTTCTGTCATTCCCACTCTGTCATTCAGTGTTTTTCTGTATTGGACTATTCCTGTTAATATAGCAGAAATGCCAGTCAAAGTGTTTTTTACAAGTGTGAGTGGTTCTACACAGGTACGTTACACAATCTTACTTGTCTTGTTCTTTTATTTTTAGCCAGTGATTAATATATATCACTGATACTATCAAAATATTGTGAGATGTGTGTAAAGTATTTACTTTTATAGACAATCTTACTGCTCTCTATGCACAACTCAGCAACTTTTATTATACAAGAAAACTTTTTATAACAAGTCACACAGCTATTAGTCTTGATAACGGATTAAATATGCCTTTTCAGATTAAGAAGAACCAAGAGAGAGTCTTTTCTATCTTAAACGCCAAGAAGATCCCCTTTCAACCTGTGGACATTTCTCAGAGTTCTGATGATAAGGATTTAATGAGGCAGGGAGCAGGAGATCCGACCGCGCTTCCTCCACAAATATTCAATGGAGACGTCTACTGTGGAGTAAGTCTCATAGAATAACTAATAATAAGCTGAACCTGCGATTCAAAACTTAAAATTATGATCAGATGTGTTTTATTTACACGCTTGCTGATGTCGTCACACAAAAAAAGAATAGAAACCATGTGGTTAGTCTAAGGCGTGGACACAGTTTTAAAATCAATATTTACACTGTATGCTAACTACTGGTTGTTCACACAGTTAAGCCAGGGGACAGAAATACATGGAGAAATGCATACATACCAATACTTTGACTTGTACACTCCCTGTTCATTCAATCACTCATCAGATTTCAGCCTTCCAGTTAGACTTATTGAGACAAACTATTTGCTTGCAGAGTATTCCTTTCATCCTTCCAACTTACAAATGGTGTATATATACAGTTATATCAGAAAACTGAAAGATAGGAGGAAAGAACCTGATTGGCAGCTTTTGATACAGACATTTATGCACCCACAAGTAATGAAGCATGTTAACGTTTTGCCATAGCAAACTTTAGTTTGTGTAATACTTTAGTTAAGGACCGAATATCTCCAAAACATTGAAACCATTTAACTGCACTATAGACTGTGTTCAATTTACTTTTTATAACAGATAAAGACTACAAGCATGCAAACAATGAATATTGCCAAAAATACCTGAAGACCCAACCCATCAAAAATAGCCAGAAAATTAAGATTTTTTTGGAACTGAGATGTTTATTAACCCATATAACAAAGGCAATTTTTTTTCCTATGTCATGTTGTGTATGATATATTTTTTTATTATATATTTATTATATATTTTCTGAATCACATTTGATACATTGGCAACTTTTTGTTAACAACAATGTTACTTTTAGTTAAAAAAAAGAGTTTTGTCCATAATATTTTGAAATTATGGCAAGTATTGATCGTGTTGATGAGATAGAGGTCTGAGACACTCATGAATCGAATATAATACCAAGGGCATTATAGGGTTAAAGCTCAAAAAATGCTGTGGTACAAAGACAACATCAGAAAGAGGTGTGAAACAGTCCAGATAGTCTTTCCCAAAGATATTAATTATTTGACAGCAGTAAGCCAATCAGCCACAGCAGGAGCTGTTTTAAGATTTCAACTTTTTCCTGCCACAAAGCATCTTAATATTGTTTGTTTTTCTCATTCTCTTAAATCTGCCATTTTTTCCTTTTTTATTATCCAGTGCAAGAACAAATTCAACTGAAAGAATTGGGCTATAAAGAAATGCAAAGAAAGATAAAACAAGAAACCCTTATTGGATTAAAAAATGCGTACCCAACAGTAGGGTGCTGTTTTGTGTGTTCATGTGCAGTTGAGTTGTGTTTTTAATGGTTTGTGTCTTTTTGTGGGTTGTGAACATGAACATATGCTTACCCCAGTAAGCATAACTGTAGCTAATGGTGATCTCAGTTATCTGAATGTCTGGCTTGTTGTGTTGTATGTCATATTGGACAAATGTACAGTACACAGTGCAATATTTTTAAATAGGTTAATAATGCCTTTGTACTAATAGTGTTTTCACTCTGTTTCTCGGAATCCATCATGCATGTCTTCTCTTTTACAGGACATCAGTGCATTTGACAATGCAATAGAGATGGAACAATTGGAGGACTTCCTTAAGCTCTGAAAGGAACAGTGACAACAACTACATTGCCATAACCAACTAAACCTGTTAAAGAGGTGTTTTTTGTTCTTTTTTTTACTTTGTTTTTACCCACACTTGTGTGATAATATATCATGTATTCAAGTTTCCTCAGAGCTAGTCCTAGAAATGCAGTTTTTTTTAAATAAAAAAAATGCTCAGAATAGAATTGCAAATGGCCTTCAGTGACATTTTTTATTTGTGAAGTTTATGTGAGACCACATCCTCTGTTCTCTTCGTGTAACACCTTCTGTGGGATTACTTGCATAGTAGCATTCAAGCTGTTGGTGTCCACTTATGCCTTCTTGTTCCAGTAGCCCACTATTGTGTGCTGTGCAGATGCCTCTGATGCTATGCTGGTCCTCATCCCCACAACACATGACCAGCACACCCTCTTTTTACGCATAAAGACACGATGATAAAAACAATCCTCTGGTTCTTGACAGGTCTTTGATAAACACAACCTTGGCTGAACAACTATACATGGCATATTAGAATGTGTTTCATTTATTTAACAGGAGCTAACCTTCCAATGTGGCTGAATTAAAACAAGTTTGAAAGAAGAGTGGACCAAAATGGCTCCACAGTAAAGTGAAACACTCATCACCAGTGAGTGATGCAGAAGCAGTGTCCACAACTTACTGCTTCCATGTGGTGCTAATCAAATGCACTTGATTAACTTATTATCAGCAAGAAAAGAAGAAATAACAACGATATAAATGGTTTATATTACATTGATATTGAGAGTCTTTGAAGGAACTGAATTGAAGGATTTTTTGGCGATGCTAACGCTGTAGAGACAGGCATACTCTCCATGCTGTTCATGACTTATTGCAGCGAGCTCAAAATTGGCCAGGTAGAAGGCTGAGTGGCCAAATGCTGACTTTGATTCAGTAGTGTTTGTGTTTAAATGTGTGAAATAGAAGATGCCTCTAGGGTATATAGAATGAACAGAGCAAGTGACAGTGAGGGTGCTGCCTCGAGAGACAGAAATTGTGTCAGGATTGGTCAGTTCCATTGCATTGGGGGACATCAGGGAGATGTTGGGTTTTTCCACTTTAACTGCAAACAACAATTTCCGATAATTGTGCAAAACAGAGGAAACAATGCACAAAATTACTGACCTACAACGGAAAGGTCAGCAGGATTTCCTTGAGGATAGTAGATGACTTCACTGGCCAACACCTTTTGATATTCACAGTAGTATGAACCCTTCTGACTAAAGTCCACTTTAGGGAAGACAAAGGTTGCAGATGCATGATCTGAGAATTTTTCCATTTGAAATGACCCTTGGGTTTTTTTCAGGAGAAATCTCCCACCCATGCGTTCTGTTACTAGCGTGCAGGTAATTTCAACTTTGTCACCCCACTTAACCTCTGCAGCAGGACTTATTGTGATTTTGGGCTTCTGTTGACCACCTGAAGCAGATAATAAATGTTTCTTGTGTAACAGCCAAAACAACTTTCTCAGGAGCAATGAGATAATTTGTCAGTTCAAAATGAGCTATGTCTCTTACCTAAGCAGATAACGCTGGCATCTTCATCATGCCCACAGTTATTTTCTCCAAATCCATCGTGTGAACAATGAGTAAGTGCAGACTCTTGGCCTGAGCATGCCACATTATCCAGCCATACTGGACCAGAGCCTCTACCAAAATGGGCACTTAGAGGTGCTGAAATGGCATGACCGCAATCAAGCTGTCTGCATACCACATCGGCATCGCTCATTTCCCAATCGTCATCACACACAGTTCCCCACTGTCCTTTATAGAAGACCTCCACTCTGCCGGAGCATTCAACTGAGCCATCCACCAACCGGACTTGTGCTGCATAACAGAGCAGAAAGAGTGAATACAAGTACAATGGAAAGTCCTTAAAACAACCAAAAAGAAGACAAAACTATAAAAGGACTTGAAAGGATTCTTCTCTATATATTTTACAAAATGTTTGTATTAATGCATAAAAAACAAATACCAAAATATAATATTAATTGGATATTATATCGTTTATTAGTCCATTATGTTAGGCAAAAGGAGTATTGCAACAACTGTTTCAAGTCATGGGAAATATGACGTTTTCGCTTTTTAATGGATGAAGTCCATACTACTCAAGTCTATGTAAGATAAATAACTAGTAAGCTAGCTGAGCTTAGCTTAGCTATAAAGAAAGCATTACCTAGACTGGCTTTGTCTAACAGTGACCTCTACAGCTTTCTGTTTGGCAATATGTAGCAAGCAATAGGCAAAACAGTTGCTGGCTAATCCTACTCCCTAAGCCAGATAGGTGTAAAAAAAAATTTTGTTAAACATTAATCTGCACATGGCTGACCAAATTAAATAAGACAGTTTTTCAATCCAGTGTTATAATTTGGAAATTTATGAAACCAACTTTGATATAAAAGGCCTTACCAGCACAGAGAACACCGGCATCATGTTCATGCCCACAGTCTTCTCTTGTAAAACCCTTCACCGAGCATTCTTGAAGAGAAGTCACGCTGTGGAAACAAGAAGTGCTAGCCTCCACCACTGACCCACTGCCTTGGCCAAAAAAAGCAGCACCAGGAGCATTCACGGCGCGTCCACACTCCAGCAGCTCGCACACCACTCCAGCTTTACTTAGAGTCCAGTCTGTGTCACATACTGCGTGCCACTGCTCGCCGTGACGTACCTCCACTCTCCCAGAGCACTCATCAGTACTGTTAACCAACCGCACTGCCAAGCTCCCTGTGAAGTAAACAAAAAAAATATAGCCACAGGTATATAAGAATATTCTTTTTTAAACTGTGACGTACTTAGTTATATTATACATTATTTAAATTCAGAAGACAATATCTTAAAAAGTAAGCAAAAGAAGAAGAAGAAGCAGAAGAAGAAGCTGCCAAAATTACATTTTGGCATTTTATTTTTGCTTCTTCTTACCTGTGCAGGAAACACCGGCAACTACAGTTGTGTCACAGGTTCTGTCCAGACCTGGTCTTTGTGGACACTGATTCAATGTAGGCTCCTTTCCATTGCATTCAATTTGATCATTCCTGGTCTGTCCTGTACCAGGGCCAAGTTGAATAAGCTTATGAGGACTCCCACAATCCAACTGTCTGCACACCACTGCTGCATCATTCATGTCCCAGGATTCAGCACACACAGTCCCCCACTGGCCTTTGTCATAAATCTCTACTCTTCCATCACAACGAGTGGATCCACCGGTTAATCTCACGTTTCCTGGAAATGATAGCTGTTATATTAATGTACATGAAATACAACTTGACCCACAACTGTATATAGTGCACTGTATGACTTTTTGTTTTGTTTTGAACTAGGGATGTACTGCTGACTAATTAAGTGGTTAATATTTTTGTGTTGCATCACATTAATTTTGTGCTGGATCCAAACAGAAGTGAACAGTCCAAGCACGTAAAACATCTTTTATGTTGAAAATGTAGCCATACTGTAATATATCGACATGTATGTGATATCTGTAGAAGTTGGTCCAATGGAAATGACAGTTGAGAGAGGAACTCTATGAATGAGTGTGCTTGTTTGATACAAGGAGGACCTGTGGTTACTGGGCTTCTAAGATTTCATTCATGTTTACAGACATTACAGTTATCTTTATGCTTGGCTAGCAAGGCTAAATCCTTTTTTTGGTTTGTGGTTGTCATGCTGAGGAAGATGATCAAATTTGAAGCTTGGAGAAATGTATCCATTCTTCTGACTGGTGGTTGTCAATAAAGCCAGTCAAAAGCCAGAGTGATGCTATTGGTATTATTGATATATGACATTAGTTTTGTATATACACAGTGTCTTAGTGTTTGATTATTTTTAGTGACTGTGCTTGTGAAATCTTGATACTTTTGCTTCATGTCTGAGTAGGATGAATTTTTGTGTGGTATGTCGGGACTAAGCCTACTGAGCTTTTGACAGTATACTCAAAAACATAGCACACCTTAAAAACTCAGTATATAAGACTGTTGGAAAGTCTTCAGTTTTTGTGCCTTCTAATCTAACCTTTTAGTTGAACATAGTTTCCATATTTATTCTAGATACTCCATATCTAGATTGGTACCTGACAAATCACTGCTTGGGGTTTCATTGCATAATTATAAATCGGGTGTTTTGCATGAACACGGTGTTTCACTAAATCACTGGTCTTTTTTCTAAAGTTAGTCCAGTTTTCGGCATTTGTTCATGTAACTTGAAGCCCTTCTACCAATATTTAAAGGTTATGTGAAAGGGCCAGAAACAATTTCCATCTTAGTTTTTTTTAAAGAAGAATATAATGGATTCATTTTCTTTTTGAAAGTCTAATTTCAATTTGACATCAGACTTTACCTGAGCATACCACAGAGGCATCTTCAGTACCATCGGTGATAGATCTGGTATGGTCTCTAAACGTGCACTGCGTGAGAGAACTCTCTCTGCCGTTACAGCGAATCTCGTACCCTCTCAGATCTCGACCTTTACCAAATGACTCTGAGATCTTGACAGGATCTCCACAGTTCATCTCTCTGCACACCACAGCAGCTTCATTCATTCCCCAGTTAACATTAAATGCTTGTGACCAGTGTTCCCCATGGTGGACCTTCACTCTTCCTGAGCACTTGTCAGTCCCATTGATTAGTCGAATGGCAGCTACAAAGCACAGTAGAGAAAAAATATCAGCAATTCGTAGGTGTTCATCTGAAAGAATTGTATTCATTGAAGCTTCATCTGATATTGGTGTTGCAGAAATAACTGCTATGTAATCAATAACTGAACATTTTTTGGAGTACAAATATCCAAAGAAAATGCTACATCCAGAACTTTTTGGGATCTAAAAGTAAAAAAAAAAAAAGACACTTTGTGAGATGAAACATCAATAGTTTGTACCTGAACAAATCACTCCTGCATCTTCATCATGACCACAGTTATTCTCTCCAAAGGAGCGATGACTGCATTGCCCAAGAGACGTCTCATTACCCAGACAGTTGACATTATCCAGCCAGATCACTCCTTGTCCTTCACCAAAGAAGGCACCAGGTTTAACTCTCTGAGGTGTTCCACAGTCCATGGCTCTGCACACCACCTCAGCCTCTCTTAAGTCCCAGTCATCATCACACACTGTTCCCCACTGGCCGTCATGCAGAATCTCCACTCGGCCAGAGCATCGGTCAATGCCGTTCACAAGCCTTAGCGGTGGTTGACCTGAGGGCACACGTTAAACAAATAACAATAAATATTATAAGCTGTTGCTTTTCTTTGTTTTTTTTTAAGGTTGTCATCAATTTTAAAATTTGTTGTAACAGATTTTTTTATTTATTCATTTTTGGCATCTTGGGGATAGCAGAAACTAGCTTTACAGCAACATGTTGTGTAGCTTCATATCTATCCATCATACATGAGCAGTCTGAGACACAACCTAAGAGCAGACTACATGGCTGAGAGCCTGATTCAGAAATCAGTGTTGGCAATGGGAGTAGAACTCAAAGATTAAGAAGTGTTGCCCAATACTTTTCGCCATTTAGTGTATATCATGTAACAATCAGAGTTTGTGGATATAAATAAGACGTTAATGTCTTGAAAGAGAATGCTTTTATAACAAGCTCTAGGTGCATAAAGGCAAAAAACAGGTCATTTTAGTCCATTGCTAGTTGGTTCCAGCCTGATGGTGTCATAATATCAGGAGTAACTGAAGTTGTGTAGATATAAATTACCTATTACTGTGGTGAAATAAAACTATACCTGTTGCAGGCAGACAAACATTAAAAATAGGTCATTTTAACATGTTGCTAGGTGGTTGCTAGGCTACATAGTGATATAATAATATCTGATATAGATAAGAAACTTCAAAGTCTTAAGCTATGCCACGTTTAGTTGCTCAGCTCCTAATTGTAAAGAAGTAGTTGGTGGACAACAAAACAGACAGAAACACAGAGAATGCAGAAATGACTTTATGAAGCCTTTATAAAAAAAAGTTAAAGTGCAAAACTGTAACCCATTCTATTGTCTTTGACTTGTGAGTGTCTGTCAGTAGACTGAGCCTTCAGAATTTTAGTTTAAATGCTTTTGATGAGCCTCAGACCTTTAAACACATTCACAAGTACATATTAAGTGAAAGAAATACTCCACATGAGCAAACCTTTTCTTTTAAAAGTTGTCCAAACGTGACATTTGCTATTTTTGGAAAGCAGGATTGCAGCATGTCTGTATCTTTTACCTGCACATGCGAGAGATACACCTTCACATGACCCTCTGTGTTCTTGCAGTTGACACTGACTGATAGAGTTCACATTATCAGAGCATCTACTTGTGAGCCCTCGCAGTGAGCTGTCACCAAAGTAGAAGGTGTCTTTGGAATTTTTTGGAGCTCCACAGTCGAGCTCCTTGCATATGACTGTAGCTTCTTTAAGACCCCAGTTATTACTACAAAGTTTCCCCCATTGGCCATCATGGAAAACCTCCACTCTGCCAGAACAAGTGTCACTCCCATTTATCAATCTGACTGTCTCTGCAAAGCAAAATTTGGCATCATTGGGATTGTCATTAAAACTCAGTTTTGAGAAACAAACAGAACAGAGCCTGTGTTACCTGAGCACACAAGACCAGCATCTTCATTGTGGTCACAGACATGTTCTTCAAAATCTTTGTGAGGGCAGTCAGCGAGTAACATTTCATGACCAGTGCACTCCATCTCATCCAACCAAACCTGACCCTGGCCTCTCCCAAAGTAAGCCTTGTACTTGACTGAGAGAACATTCCCACAGTTCATCTCTTGACAAGCTACAGCTGCATCTTGCATCCCCCATTTGTCATCACAAACTGTTCCCCATTGTCCTTTATAGTAGATTTCAACTCTACCAGAGCAGCGATTAGTCCCATTCACCAGCCGAATGGGTTGACTGTCTGTTAAGAAAAAAAAAAAAAGTTAGGGGCATGGTTTTTCTTTCAGAAAGGGACAATCTAACAGTGTCAGTTTTACTGGCCATGTACCATGGCCAACTTACTTGCACAGACAACAGTAGCATCAACACAGCTTTCTCTGAAATCTTTAAGTTTGCACTGTGAGATTGAGTTCTCATTTCCAGAGCAAGTGGTTTTGATGGCAGACAGTTCATGTGCTTCTCCAAAATATGGTGTTTCATTCTGACCGAGAGGATCGCCGCAGCCGGCTTCTCTGCATGCCACCTGAGCTGCTTCCTTGCCCCAGTCATTGCAAACTCTTTTCCACTGACCCTTGTGGTAGACTTCCACTCTGCCATTACAACGAGTGGTTCCTTTCTCAAAGCGCACATGTTCTGCAAATGATGTGGATATTAAATGTAATAAAATAATAATATGTTTCATAAATAATAATACAATCAGCCAGTGTGTCTGTATTTCCCATAGTCTATATACAATAATACTACTAATTCTAGTGAAGATTTTAACTTTGTCAGAACCAAATTGGAAGAAACTGGCATCTAAAGCATATTACCAAAAGAAAACAAAAGAATGCCTTGGTGCATGCTTAATCATCCGTAAGTAAGTAAATCCCAAAAGGTTTATTCTGTTCATCTGGACGTAACGTTTTCAGTGGGAGAAACGTTTCCTCACTAATCGAAGTGACTTCTTCAGTCTCAGCTGACTGCAGGTCTCCCCAACCTTATAAACAGTATATTTGAACAATAACTGAAACCAGCCTACTGAATGAACAATGGGCTGTGAGGTCAGTTCTTTGATCATTAATATGCAAATTGTCATGATCATTGATCAACAACAACTGGTCAAAGACAACTGATCAATGGCCATAAGTAGCATTCACAGAGAGTTGGGGAATGGCTGCAATCACAGTGCTTTAAGACGGTGAAAGATGTACCCTTAGGCCCCCACCTCGATTCAGAGATGGTCTTTCCCTTTTCACGTAAATGGACTCCTTGACTCCTCGCTCCAATCAGCGTTCCTCCACGATGTGTACATCCTCATCATTGAAAGAGTGTCCACTGGCCTGCAGCGAACTGAGACTGAAGAGGTCACTTGGATGAGTGACAAAACATTTCTCCCACTAAAAACGCTACGTGCAGATGAACAAAATCAACGTTTTGGGAAAGCAAAAGAATGTTAAAGGTCAATTGGAGAAATTAATACTGCTCTCATAAGTATCTGCTGATACCCTCAAGACTAGGAGAATGCTCTTGCCAGTAAAAAAAAAATCTGTCTTCCACTATCTCAAAAGCTCAAGTTTACTTCCCGAGAAGCCAAACTGTTAATTTACCTGTTTTTAATTGATATTAAATTCTTGATAATGCACAAAATAATTGTTTGTAATCAAAGCTAAACTTTTAATGTATCAAGAGTCATACACTGCAAATTGTTTTCAACAGGACTGTGTGCGTAATGTTTGATCAAAATGTTTTTTAGTGTCTGGGCAAGATAAACATACTAATTAATATATCTTAGCACAGTTTAAATACACTTTTTAAATATACTGACTCATGCATAAAAGTATGTGACATCATTTTTCTTTCCACAATAGAAGGAGCAAAAACGAAATTAAATCATAAGACATGTACGTTATCTTTAAATGCTATATGTATAGCACATTTTCTTCTTGCTTCTTTCAAGAAGAACAAATGTGACTCCATGATGGCTGTTCTCAAAGCCTAACAATTGTGGAAATGTTGCAGCAACGAGAAACCTAAACCACATAACATGGTGAGCTAACATAATTGCTGTGTTAGCTGGTTTTCTCTTAGGTTGTTTTTTTTTTTTGGTTTTCTTTGGTTTTCTCTTAGGTTGTACAGGATTTCTCAATTTCAACAACAGTTCCACATTTTACGAAAAGGGGCAGTTTTGACATCTTGCTGATGTGAATGAATTCTGCCTGACTTCTGATAACTTTAACTGTTAATGCAGTGCTAGCTTAGCTTGGCAGAAAGACTGGAAAATGGTAGAATGTGACAAAAAAAAATCCACCTACCTAACCTAAACATGTTGCATTTGTTAAAGTGATATTATATTGGACTGAGAAAGCTGTTAACATGTGGCAGCAAAAAAATAAATGTCTTAGCACATTTTCTCGAAGAAAAGGTTTTCTATGAAGGTTTGTGAGGGAAAACAAAAATATGTCAAACATCATTGGAGCTTACCTGAGCAGACCACTCCTGCATCTTCATTGTGGCCACAGTTATTTACCCCAAACGGTTTGTGCTGACACTGAAGGATGGAAGACTCATGCCCAGTACACTGTACGTCATCCAACCAGATCTCATCCTTTCCCTGTCCAAAGAAGGCGTCTTTTTTAGCCTCGATAGCTGTCCCACAGCTTAACTCTCGACACACCACCTCAGCGTTAGCAATGCTCCACTGATCGTGACAGACAGTTCCCCAACTGCCTTTGTGGAAGACCTCCACTCTGCCAGAGCAACGCGAAGGTCCGACCAGCCTAATATTCTCACATTCTGGATATGAAAAAAACAAAACCACAAAGGATGCACAATGTGTAACCTTGTCCTCAACCACATTTCACAATTTTTATCTTTTTAATGTAGAAATCAAAGTCTCATGAGTTACTTACTG